TTTAAATTTAAGTTATATTAATAAAATTAATTTTATTTTTTATATAATAATTTAATATATAAATTATAAGAGAAAAAATTATTCACTCCAAAAACAAGGATTAAAGACTTATTTTTTATTATTATCATTATTTTCTAATAATCTAATAATTAAAAATAATAATTTATCTTAATTGTTAAATTATAAAATAAATAGGTGATAAATAAAGTATTAAAATAGGTTTAGTCTAATCTATTTATCTAAAAGATATCAGAAATAAATCTAGACCAAAATATTTATGATTTAAATTGAAATCTATTTTAACTTAATCCATTTAACTTAATCCATTTAGACTATGATTATTTATGAGTCAATCTATTTTATAAAATAATAATTAATTTTATAAAAATTATATTATTTTATTAAATATATATATTATAAATTAATTTAATAAAAAAATTACTTATTTTAAAATAAATATAAAAAAAATCTCTATCATTCATTAATTCTATTATTTAATTATTAAAATAGAATACTATTTTAAATCAATAAATTACTAAAATAAAAAATAATAACAAAAAATAAGTTTTTAACCCTTATTTTGATATTAAATAAATCTACTCTCACATAACTTACATATTAAATTACTATATTTAAAATAAAAATTAATTATATTAATATAATTTAAATTTTAAAATATATACTTTTTAATTTTTTTTCACTTAATTATTTTAATATAAACACATTAATAATTTTTTTAATATAAACACATTAATAATTTTTTTAATTTATATATAATCATTGACTCATTAATCTATTAAGAATAAATTAAACAAAAAATTATAATTTATTTAAAAATATAAATAACATACATCATAATTTTTTTATCTAATTTAATCTATTTATCCAACTTTTTTATTTTAATATTTTTAAGAAAAATACCTACCATCAAACTGGCTACATGCCTCATAAATAGCAAAAATAAATAATATATATAAAAATTCCTCAAGCTAGTTGAATTGGTGAGGATATTAAGTCCCTGTATGAACACCGTGAGAGATTTGTCCCAGTATTCAACATTGGGATATTAAGTCTATTATAAACAAGCACAAACTTTCATGGATATGGGTATCCAAATTCAAATCTATATTAATTCAACTCAAACATTTTCTTTCAACCTCTTATAAATAAAACTTAACCTAACGTCATTAAACCTGTTGCTCTTAAATTAATTCACCTTATAAATTAGCAATATTTGATTTTGTACCCAACAACAAAATCAATAATCTAAGTAAAAAAAATTGACTTGCTAAAAGAAAAAAAAACAATACACAAGTTTTTAAATCTGTGGATAATCACATCAATATATTTAGTGGGATAACATTTCTCAAATTTATTTCCAGCAATTGTTTATAAGAATGATAAGGAAAAATTATAAATTTTGAAAAAGAAATAATAATAAAAATAAAAATTTTGGTAAATTTTGTTGGTGAATATACAATCTAATCTAACATATTATAAATAAAACTAGTTTGATTTAGTTTTTTTTATACAAATTACCTAACCAAATCCAAACTATTTTGATAGGTTTGAATAATTAGTTTGGCATAATACAATCTAAATTAAAATGTGAACAATATACAAATATTTAAAATATATTTTCTAGGTATTTTTAAGGACTAATAACGTAAATATTTTTACAAATGATATATGAATCATCTCAATAAAAAATATAACATCATTTTTCAACTAAAAATCTTGAAACATTATATTATGTTATGAATTTATTTTCATTTATACTTAACTTTTCTATTTTAATTCGAGACTTCAACTCATACTTAAATTTTTAATTATTTTTAACTTTATATATATATATATATATAAATAAATAAAAGTAATTAATTGTTACTCGTACAATAATAATCAAATTATATATAACCATAATAATTAAGCCGAGTTATCCTAATTTAATTTAGATGTTCAAATAAAATAAAAAACTTGAAGAGAAACATGATTCACACCAAAATTTTGTAACTCTCATGTAATTTATGATTCACCTCAAACTTAATGAACATTTGATATATTTATTTGTATATTTACAATTTTATCCTCTTAACCCCTCATGTCCCTCAAACTTAATGATCATTTGATATATTTAAGTATATATTTATAATTTTATTCTTTCATTTTTTATATTTTTTTCTTTCTTTTATATTTGTTTATTATTTGACTTTGAGAATTATGAATGGTAAGATCAACTAATACCGTGTATCTGAATTTAAACTTTCGCTCATGTTTGTCTCAATTTTTTATAATTTCTCTCAATTTTTTTTTTTTTAAGTTTGAAACGTATGAACATTAAACCCACTTTCATTTATGAGTAGTACAATGTGTATGACCAGCTAGCAACGGCAGATTCATTATCATTTTACGTTCACAAAAGCTTTAAAATATAATAATCCTGCATGGGTGAAGGAATCAAAGGATCCAAAAGTTGTCTGAAAATCGAAATGATAGTGCAGAACAGACCATTAAAGATAACAACGTTAACGTTGATTTCCACGTGGTGAAATGTATTGGACATAGTATGGTGTTTATATAGGGCCTGGTTACATGTGAAAACACGATAGTTTTTTTTTTTTTTTTTAAATTGGATAGATTTTTCAAGTATTCCAAAAAATTGAGGAGTTATTTAACAATACGAGATTAAGATTGATATGTACTTGAGAAAAATGCATTTCTAAAAAAATCATCTTCTCTTTATTGGATTTTTTTAAATATTATTCTATATTGATAAGATATTTAATATATATTAATGTTAGATAGTTATTTATTTTAGAAATGTGAAGGTGAATATGGTTTTGAATTCATGATTTCTACTAACTTTCATTGGAACACACATTAGAAATTAGAATATTTATGATTATAATGTTTAAGTATTATTTTTTTATCAAATTAGTGAATTTATTTTTAGGTTTATCAAAATATATAAATTTTAAAAAATTACAAATTTAGCAAGTCATACCATGAAATACGATTTTAACATATTTTATGACATGATTTTAATTTTAATTTAAAAAAAGTCTAGCACAACTTTTTTCTTAATTAAAAACTGAAATATCGTGTTGTGAAATACGACTTTTTTTTTTATGTTAAAATTATAATTTTTAAAAAATTTACCGAATTTTGATAAATTTTAAAAAAGATTGTACTAGCTTTATAAAATTTAATATTAATTTTAATCTAAAGTGGGAGATTAAGGATCGAGACATGGAATGGGACCAATACGGGCTTTGGCCCAGTTTACTTGTTGATTTTCTTGGATTTCTTCTAAGTTTTAAGAGCCGATGAACAGAAAATGTAGTTCGCAAGATCACATTAGTTTAAAGATTGAAGTTACAAAAATTCTTGAAATATTTTAGAGTTTCATATTTTTTTGCTGATTTCATTTAATTTAAATATTTCATAGAGAATTTTAGAGTTTCATTTAAATCTTAAAATATATATATATATATATATATATATATATATATATATATTTATATTTTGACGGTTCCTAAAATACGCATGTTATTACTATTCTTTTAAAGTCTTCAAACCAGAGAATAAAATGAAAATAAAAATAAAAATTAGAGACTTAAATGAAACTATAATGAAGAAAATGTTATGAAGAAACCATTATGACATCATTCAAAATCAATTATAGAGAAACTATAATATGAAAATTGTTACTTCATTGTCCCTATGTATAATAAATATAAGACTCTTTTTAGAAAATTGTTTGTTCCTTTTTTTTTATATATAAAATCCCATTATTATTAAATGCTATACTAAAATACTCTTAAATATGTAAAATAAATTTCCTAAAAAAAAAATCTTCTATTCTGATTTGAGAATATAAACACTCTTAAAACTATATAAGGGCCAACACTTATTTCAACACAACACATGATTGATTTTCATAATTACTTATTTAAAACTATTTTATTACAAAATGTGTGTGTAGGATATAAATATATCTGTTACAGTTTTGATTGATGGTAGAGTTAAGAAATGAGTAAGAGATGATTTAACTAGTTGAGAAATATAATTAAACACATAAGATAACATAATAATGCTTATTAGTTTGTTAGAATCGAAAAGAAAGTTCGATAAAGATAGAAAGTCCAAAGTATGATATATTAATAATTCCAATAATGTGGGACCTTAAGATTAACATTATCTTATTTTTAGGCATAAGCCAACCCAGCACATAAACTTTTCTGCAATCAGTTAGCCGTTGATGATGAAGACACAAAGCATAAACACTAAAACATACCCAAAAGACTCAAACTAATCCATAACAGAGAAAGGGGAAGGAAACTTTATAAACCTTCCTCTTTCCATTTTCCTCCTTGGCTCTCTCTTTGGAGAAAGTTCCCTTCGTTGTTATTCTCATCTTGGTTTTCGTCTCACACGTTGTTAGGTTAACCCCTAATTGCATGCATGTGTACGTGCATGCATTTCACAAAATTTCCATCGTTTCCAACCCAGTTAATCTGGACATTCATTTCTCTAAGGTTTCAACGTTTCTCAAGCTATTTGTTCTATCCAATTATTTTCTTTTCTCTTCTGAATTTATTATCTCTGTGTTTTGTCATCATTGTGGTTAATTAGGTTTAATTTCAAGTCTATATTGTCTATAAAACATGGCCGCCGTGGGGTTCTGCGGTTTGAAGCCATTTCTCTTTCGTCGAAAGACAAATAGCATTTTTGAGGTAAATTTCTAACCCAGTTTCCGTCACATTTGTTTCTGTTTGATGTCTGTTAGGAACCTGAGGCTATGAAAATCATCTCTGTATATCCTTTTTTTTTTTTTTATCAAGCTCAAAATCTTGGTATTGGGATTTTTGAACTTCCCCAGTTTTTATTTTGTTTATATCATGTGTGGTTGAACGTGTTGGAATTTCAAGCATTATTTATATGAAACACTAATAGAATTCCTAGGGACACTGTCCATTACGATATCCACTTTGCAGGGAATGAAATGTATTCCAAAGAGGACTTCAAAGGCTCAGAGCAAAGCAAAAGGAGAGTCGTTGGAATTGTCATTTGTAGGAGCTGACCAGTTGATTTTAATGGTGGAGATCCATAAGAAGATCTTGGCATTCAGAGACATCATGGACCTTGCTCCATGTAACAGCTCTGCTTCCTTACGTGAGGTGCTTTAAAATTTCTTCCCATTCAGCGGAATGCCAGCATTCCCTCACTATATTCTTGTCCGCTTCACAAATTTGTCTTTCATCTGTCCCACTGCAGATGGTTATGAAAACCCTGCAAGATCTTCAAGTGCTATACCCAGGGATCATACCAAAAAATGAAGTCTTAAAGATTAAGGGCAAGCCTATGGACAAGGTTCCAACATTTAGTTGCACCCCAAGTCATCCTGATCATACTGAAATTTAGTAAATTTGAAAATAATATTTTCTGTTTTCAATCTTTATTACAAAACTGTTATTTTGTTTTCAAAATTTTACTATCTTCAGAGATTTGAACTAAACCAGTGAATTTTTTTGTCCTTACAAATCTTGAAAAAACAATAGACAGATTGAAGATAGTGTGACAATTTTGTAATTGAAAGGGGAAAACAAAAAATATTTTCCCAGAGTAAACAGACCCTTAGTCTCCAAAATACTAAGTGTGGACTGTTTCACTGCAGGCTATGGCGTATTTCTGCAAGGCTTTGAAGTCTATTGGAGAGTTATGGATTGTGAATAATAATTGGATGAAGAAGCTCAATGTTGTGTTACCAATATGCAAGGATAACAGCAATATGCGTCAATTAGGTATGTATGTTGTTAGTGGTGTTATTGTCCTTGTGAAATGATGTATTGGCAAAAAAGAAAAGAAAAATGGTCTAATTGAGATTCAGTCAAAGTTGACACAATTTCCATTATTTGTTTTGAAGGTGAGACAATGTTGGCCACTCTAGATGCTCTGATGAAGTTAGCAAGTGACCAGTTTGACGTAGAGGAAGATGAGCATAAGAAAGAACTCAGCCCAAGATGTAGCTCATATGGAAAATATATAATGCGATCAACCTCCTTTTCAGATAGCAGCTACTCTTACTGCTCTTCTCCTCCCACACCTAGATCTGTTCTCCCAGAGTTGACGAAACACCCTACAAAATCTGGAGATAGTCCAAGAAGTTCTTGTGCCTCACCGCTGCTTCTGTCTCTCAGAGTTCAAGCTGTGGGAAAGTTGAACCCAATTGACGTAAAGCGCTTGTCTTTCCAGATGTCACCAGCACAGGTTCACAAGATAGAGGAGGAATCATCCACCAGAGAAACGGAAGAGGATGACAAAGCTACAAATCATGGAAAAGACTCACCAGAAGAACTGGTGTTTCACTTGGACACAACTGAGGAATTGGATAGTCCAACTAATGATCATAAAAAAGCAACTAAACCCTTTGCTATAAAGGAGGTGAGGCTATCAATATCTTCCAGTCACACAGAACCTCAACCAAAATCTCCTAAACTAGAAAAAGCACCTCTTGTACAGCAAGAATCACTACCTGTATCTTCACCTTCAATTACACCCCCACCATCCATTCCACAACCTCCCCCACCACCTTCCCCACAATCCATGATAAAGATGCAGATTATACCAACTCCACCACCACCCCCTCCATCTCCTTCACCATCCAAGATGATGTCAAGTGTATCATTGCCACCCCAAGTACCAGCACCACCTCTGCTGCAGCCCAATGTAGCAGTGTCACCAACACCACCTCCACCTCCACCATCAGCACCTAAACTGGAGCAAACTGAAGTAGAAATTAGGATGCCTACAACCCCATCACCACCAAGGCCTCCAAGTTCAGGTTCAGTAACAAATGCTGCTCCTCCGCCACCACCACCACCACCACCCTCATTGCCTCCAAGTTCAGGTTCAACAACATCTGCTGCTCCTTTACCACCTCCATCACCAAATCCCTTGAAAGGGGAATCAGTTCCAGCACCTCCCCCACCCAATCACTTGACAGGTGGATCAGTTCCAGCACCTCCACCACCCAATCCCTTGACAGGTGGATCAGTTCCAGCACCTCCCCCACCCAATCCCTCGACAGGTGGATCAGTTCCAGCACCTCCCCCACCCAATCACTTGACAGGTGGATCAGTTCCAGCACCTCCACCACCCAATCCCTCGACAGGTGGATCAGTTCCAGCACCTCCACCACCCAATCCCTCGACAGGTGGATCAGTTCCAGCACCGCCACCACCCAATCCCTTGACAGGTGGACCAGTTCCAGCACCTCCCCCACCCAATCCCTTGAAAGGTGGATCAGTTCCAGCACCTCCACCAGCCGCGCCAGGTGGTTCAAAGGCAGGTGCCCCACCGCCACCTCCTATTGGAGGAGGGAGAAGCTTGAGCGCTAAGGCAACTAGTAAGTTGAAAAGATCGACTCATCTAGGCAACCTGTATCGATCTCTAAAGGGAAAATTTGAAGGGTCTACCGTGAACGTAAAATCTTCTTCTGGCAAAAAAGGTGGGGTTGGAGGAGCAAGCACAGGAGGGAAACAAGGAATGGCTGATGCTCTTGCTGAGATGACAAAAAGGTATGTTTTTTAAACCATGCCGCAGTACTAGGAACTTCTAAGCTACGATGGAAATATAATATTATAAATCCTAACCGATGATATACTTCAATATCTGTTTACAACTACAACAATAGCATTAATCATATTCCATTCTTAAAATCATTCACGAAGGAATAAATTTCATTTTTGTTCACCAAATAACAATATTTCTATTTTTTGGATTCTATATCCATTTTGTTAAATTTTGCAAGTATCAGAACCAAATGTCTCACTTCTTGAAGTTTCCGCTTATCTTTGACTTTACTTAATTAGATCCTCTTACTTCCAACAAATAGAAGAAGATGTTCAGAAATACACAAAGCAAATCTTGGAGCTGAGATCTACCATTACTAATTTCAAGACAAAAGATATGACAGAATTGGCCAAGTTCCACAGAGATGTTGAATCCGTTCTTGAGAAACTAACTGATGAATCGCAGGTGAGTTCAGAAAATTCGTGTCTATATGGTTTTCAATTCCATTCATTGTTGTTGGTTCTTTCATTTACAATGGTAAGCAATTCCCTTCCTGCATAGGTGCTATCGCGGTTTGAAGGATTCCCCACAAAGAAGTTGGAAGCTTTAAGAATGGCAGCAGCACTGTACAATAAGTTGTACTCAATACTTACGGAGCTTCAAAATTGGAAAGTAGAGCCTCCAATGACTCAGCAACTGGACAAGGTTGAGCGATATTTCAGCAAGGTAATCCAAATCCATCAAATAAGTTTGTGACTAATTTTGTGTCCTTACAAATTCATTTATAAATTCTAACCCCAAAAGAGCAAAATACAGATTAAAACAGAGCTGGATGCTCTGGAACGAACCAAAGATGAAGAAGCTAAGAAATTCAAGGGTCACAACATCATATTTGACTTCCACATTCTCGTAAAGATCAAGGAAGCATTGGTGGACGTTTCTTCCAATTGCATGGAGTTATCTCTTAAGGTATATAAGCAGGTTAGAATATCAACAGAACACTTTTGAGCAAAGCATGAAAGAAAATGAAATTGAATGTGTATTTGGTGAAACTGAGTGCAGGAGAAGGGCAACGCCGGTGCTAAGAAGGATGGAGCAAAAAAGGAAGGTGTATCACTGCTTTGGAAAGCTTTTCAATTTGCATTCCGGGTCTACACATTCGCTGGTGGCCTTGATGATCGTGCTGACAACTTAACAAGACAATTGGCTAAAGAGATAGAGAGTGAACCCAACCAAGCATAATTTAAATTTTTACATAATTATAGTTGGATTTATGCTTTGTATTTCGAAGAAAAAAATGACATGATGAGGTTCTTTCTGCATACCCATCATGGAACCCCTTTTTAGTGTCAAAACCATTTGTATATTAATGATCATTTTGGCCATTTCAAGTTCTAATTTTTAAATTTTGATAGGAGCTAGTCATGCTTGAAGAGTTTTGAAATAATTGCGGGAACTCTGCTGAAGCGTGAAGCTAAACCTGTATTTTCACCACTTTAGTTTGCTCGCTATATATATATATATATATATATATATATATATATACATATATATATATATATATATATATATACATATATATATATATATATATATATATATATATATATATATATATATATATATATATATATCTTAATACATAATGTATTTTGGAGTTTTATTTATCAGCGATGAATTCCCTTTTATCCTTCTTCTTAATTTCATTCCATTTGTGACAATAATAAAACCTTTGTTGAAATAAATTGATGGTAATGCTTCTACCACAAAAATCAATTATTATGAAATTTGATTTTTTTTAACTGTAATGACAAATTGAAATCACTCTTAATACAACCACTTCTTTTTTTGTTTAAAAAAAATGGAAAATGATTATTTTTAATTGTGTAAAATAAAAGGATAATTATCTGACCATTGATTTGTTTGTTTGACTTTTTTTTTTAATTTATAAAAATGAATACATTTTAAAAAGATTACAAATTTAGATATATCGTGTTATGAAACATGATTTTCTAGTGAAAAAAATTTGCTCCACGATTTCAATTTTCAAATTTCTTTTTAAAACAAGAAATTGTATTAGATAATACTACTTCAAAAATTTTATATTATTATAATTAATTATTTATATTATTATTAATATTAAAATAACAATAATATTACTAAAAATAATATAATTATAATTATTAATATTATTTTATCATTAATATTATTTTTATTTTATTATTAACATGAGAATAATAATAATAATAATAATAATAATAATATAATTTTATAAAATAAAAATAACATTAATAATAGGATAATTATATAATAATTATAATTCTATTACTTATTTATTATTATTATTATTATTAATAAAATAATATTGATAATGAATTATTATTATTAATAAAGCTATATTATTATTAAATATAATAATTCTTATTAATATATATATTAATGATACTAATAATTAAAATTATATTATTAACAATTATTATTATTATTTAGATCTATATTAATAATGTAAATTTAATATAAATTTATATATTAAATTTAAATTAATCATGCAAATTTAATTTAATTATTTACTAACAATAATTATTATATTTAATAATAATGTAATTTTATTAATAATAATTCATTGTATAATAATAATAGTAATTAAATTTACATTAATAGTTATATTAATAATTAATATATTAATAACTATATTATTATTAATTGTATTAATAATTGTGGTAAAAATATTATATTAATAATAACATAAAAATATTAATAAGTATAATTCTATTATTTATTTATTTATTATTATTATTATTATTTTAATAATAAAATTAAAAAATATATTAATAATGAATGATTATTGATAAAATTATATTATTATTAAATATAATAATAATTATTAATAAATAATAATAATAATAATTAATTTTCATTATTAATATAGTTTAAAATATTATGAATAATTATTGTTAATAACATAAATTTAATTATTATATATGTTTATTAATAATAATAATTATATTTAATAATAATATAATTTCATTAATAATAATAATAATTATATTTAATAATAATATAATTTCATTAATAATCATTCATTATTAATATTATTTTATTATTACTAATACTAAAATAATAATATTAAGAATAATAATTAAATAATTATAATTATTAATATAGTTATCTTATTATGATTATTATTATTATTATTATTTATTTTATTATTAATATTGTAAAATATATTATTACTAATTATAATAATATAATAGTAATGTTTATAATATAAAAATTAAAAGTCGAATTATGAATTTTGTATAAATATATATAGATAGTGACAGATTTAAAGGGTCAGGAGGCCACAATCCCCCAATAATTTATTTATTTATTATATATAATAATAATTTTTAAAATTTAAATAAAAATTATTTTATAAATATAAATATTTTTATTTTTATTTTTATTTATAATAAATAATTTTTTTCTTATGCAGTTTTCTACTTACACTTTTTTTTTCTATCTCCACATCTTTATCTTTTTTACTTTCATCTAGAGATTCATTCTATTTTTTCACCTTTTTAATAGTTTTCTTTTCATCCTATTCATTCTAGTATTCTTTTCTTTCAAAGTTTGTACGGTAAATGTTTTTCTTTAGTATTCAAAATTTTCTTTTTTAACAGTTTATATGATAAAATTAAAATTTTTTATTTTATTTTATTTATATTAAAGACATAAGACAATAAATTAAAAAATAAAAAAATATCTCATAATAATTATTTTAAAATAAAGAAACAGAAAATATTATTTTCTTTATTTTTTATTTATTATTATAATAAATTAACATATATAGTGTAATATAAAAATATAAAATATTGATATAATTTTTTTATAAATTAATTTGTTAATTTAATGTTTTATAATATTTTTATTTTGATTAATTTTAAAATATAAAAAAATTCAAGTTAAATTTTAAAAATATTAAAAAAAGTTTAAATTATATTTTAAGAGAAAAAAATAAAATAAATTTTACTTTCTAAAATTTAAATTCAATTACTAACGTATTGATAAATATTTTATATAATATATTATTTTTATATAATTAATTTTTATATATTATCTTCCTCGTATAAAATTTCGGATCAATACGACTTTTTAAGAAGAATTGAAAACTAAAATTGTATGGTGTTAAAATCGTATTTTACAGCATTACTTATTCAAATTTATATATATATTTTTTAAATTTACCCATTTTAGTAAATTAAAAAAATACACCAATTACATAAAAGAAAAACATTTGTTTTATGTTTTTTTTTTTTTACCGATGAGAAGTATTCAGAAAAGGTTACTATTTTATGAAACATCGATGGATACAGTCGGTACTGTTTTAATAAACATTGACAAATATTTTCTTCTTCTTATGAAACTAACGGTTTAATATAATTTATTGTTGTGTGTCCAAAAGTTTTATATACTCTAGAAATTAACTCATTGATAAATATAATATTATTCATGTGTATTAATAATGTATTCTACTTGTGAGTAGCATGTGCAAGCAAGTATTTGTAACCAGGGTAATGAAGGAAATGATGGAAGAAAAACAATTTTGGAATTAGGGGAATGATGGAAAAGGCACAATCTTGCAGCGTAGTAAATAGGGAACGTTTTCCTTTTAAAAAACAATCTAATTTAAATATAATTCATTGGGGTTATTTAATATTAAAAATATAGATTTAGGTTTGAGATGAATATAACAAATCAGTATTATTAATTACATATTTAAAACACTTGTCTTTATCTTGTTTTTAAAAAAATTGATGAATATATTTACAATTTTTGAAAATATGTAATTTTGTTTATACTTAAATTTATTAGTTTATGACACTTTTTTATAATTGCAGAATTAATAAAAATAAATAAAACTAAATTCTTAAAAGAAGTACATAACAAAAATATATTTAACCTTTAATTATATTAAATCAAGGACATTATGTAAACAATATCACGATTATATAAGAGGATTATAATTACTACATAATTAAAGAGTATGACATAGATAGAAATGGCAAAACGAGCTAGACACTGTGCAGGCTGATCCACCATAATATGGCGGGGTAGGTTGGTGTTTTCGGTTCACCAGCTCGCTTTAGCACTGTCTGCCAAACTTGCTAACTCGTTAGAACAACCCGCGGGACAGGGCCGTCCAACTCGCGGCTTGCCTAATTAATAAAAAAATATTTTTTTATTATAATAAAATTAATTATAAAGATAATATATAAAGTTAAAATTTTTAAAAAGAGAATTAAAAAAGTTTCACTCTCACGAAAAATATTCTCCTTACTCGAAACACAATATTCTCTTTCATGTTCTCCTTGTTCATCCTAAGCACTCATTATTTTTATCCTTATGACTTGAATTAAAGGTGTAAGAATTACTCAACCAAGAATAATGTGAAATTTTATAAGTTTTAACGTTATTTATATATATATATATATATGTTATTATTTATTATTATGTAAATTTTATTATTGTTCTAAATTATAATTTCTTAAAACAATGTATTGATTTATATTATTAAATTAAAATAATATATATATTGAATTATTGACAAACAAATAATAATTTTATTATTAAATTTATTAAAAAAATTTATTTTAAAAAATAAATTATTTTTTTCTAAATTATGACAAGTCAGCCATGCATTGATAGGGTGGGTCAAAGTCTACAACCCGTCATAACTATAACGGGTCACCCACCTTGCTCAGCTTTTTACGGGCAAAAGGCGGGTTGGGTGACATGTTTTTTCATCCTTAAACATGAATATCATATTTAATTTATGACAAATTTCCTTATTTATTGGAAGGACCCTCTTATTCGTTTAGATTTGAAATTAACTTCGATAAAATCAATTTAGAATCTTTAAATGTGATTGAAATATATACGTAAATGGCTTAAATATATATTTCTAATATTTGCGATGCAACTATTTTTCTTTTACTTCTTTTAATTTCTTTTTAAAATGAAATTTAATTTATACACAAATAAAGAACAAACATTCATTCTAAACATGTATGTCTTCTAATCCATAATTTACCTATTATTTATAACGGCAATTAACATTTAAATTTATAATTTTAACTCGTATAATCAAGATGACACAAAAGATGTAAATAATAATAATATTCTTATTGACATATATAAAGTGTTTGTTTAGATTGAAATCTTCTGTAAATTGGATATTGCATATGATTTATCATTTATATTTAATTTTTATTAGCTACGAATTTTGCCATAATCAATCACTATAAAAAGTGGTTTACTGGTTCTTGTTTTCATCAATTCTTTATTTCGTGTTGTGATTCTTCTTTGACCGGTAAAGAAATATATGGAAACAATTGTTTTAAGCGGCACATGGAAGAGCAGCGTAATTGTGATGTGAGTTATTGGATTGTTATAACTTATTTCAATCCGAATTGAAATATTTTTTAATAAAAAAGTCATAATACCCTTATTAAATAATTTAAAAAGATTATCCTAATCATGGGACCCACGTTATCTACGGCTGCAGATATTACTGCCCACCGATTGGTTTATTTGAGATTGCAGCCATGAGCTGTAATAATCATCGTACAAGATAAGACACCCGTTGACCAAATATTTGGTGGTCATTGGCCGATGTTTCATACTGCGACTAAATATTATAATAATATATGAGATTAAAATTATATATATATATAAACAAATATATTTAATAATTATTAAATTTTAAAAAATAAATTATAAATATATATAAATTACATAATTTTAATATGTCTTGACTTTTCATCTTTCAAAAAATTATGTCACTGTTAATGATCTTTAAACTAATGATATTTAAATTTTATTTATATTAATAAATAATTTCTTAAAATATTTTTTAAAGACAGACGGATGATATATTAAACTTTTTAGAAAAATATTTATTATACAACTTAATTTATTATTAAATAAAGTTGTGCGGAGATGTTTATTTAAAAAAAATTAAAAATATCTTTTCTCTTTAATCAAATGTAAAAATTTGAAAAACAAATGTAAGATCAACATTTGTTAAACTTCAGTAAAAAATAAAACAAAATGTTTTTTTTTTATAAAGTAAATTAAATTACACAATTTTTTTTAAATTTAGTAAAATTTCACTTTTTTTACCATAATCTTTTCTTATAAAAATACTTTTTTCTCATAGATAAAATTCAAGTTTTTTCTTAAAAAATATTAGTGTAATGTTTTTAAAATAGTAAAAAAATAATGTAATATTAAAAAAATTAGTGTATTTCTTTAATAATAAAAAATTAGTTTTATTACAAAGCAATGAGTTTCAATTTTATTTTTTAGTGATAAATTTTACTTATCTTTTGGCGCAAAAAAAATAAAAATAAAAATTATGAAACGGATAAGTGCAATTTACTCCATTTTTGCGAATAATACAACAAAAATGGAAATTATTGGCATGTTCAAAACACCTTTTTAATCATGCCATAATTGTTCGTTCACAATCACTGATTTTCACTCCGTTGCAAACTCTATCTTGATGGCCTGAACTGTGACAAGTCCTTTCCCATATTTTGGTACCAATGTTACCACAATACTATCATCATTTTCTGCTTCCAAGTCTTCTAACAAATCCGTTAATCCCAGTCTTAAACAGGTCTTCACCTTCTTCTTTTTGTGCACATGCGTATGAGGCAAACTCACAAAGCTTCCTGCAAACTCAGTACTGTTTGGTCGAATCTCCTTGTCATCTTCCTCGTTGATAAATACATCAAACTTCACAGCTTTATTCCTATCAAATTCTATCCCATCAATCACCAACACTTCTTCCTCTTCTTCCTTCTCCTCCTTGCTCCTCGACAGCTTTGGCCTTTTAACAACTGTGCTTACCTTTGAATCCAGAGTCAGAGGAAACGTCACACTGCTTGAAGTAGTCTCAGCAGCCTGTGCTGCACCAACTCCAAAACTTTGTGCCAATTCCACCTTCTTTTTAGATCTTTTGGGTTTAGGCTTATTCTTGAGCCATGGAATGTCAACATCTTGGTAAACATACCCCAACTTTCTCGTGTCAAGGGAATCTTTCACCTTCACACGCACAAGGTTCTTGTTCTCATCGTAGAACAAAAAGCTAGATTCTAACCAATCAGGGTCAGTGAAATCCCTTCTCCTCCCACCTGGTATTGTTTTCCATATGCTCCACATTCTATCCACGTTGGCATGGTGAGAATAGAAAATGGGGTCTCTCGCAGCTGAATAGAAGATGCCCATGTTCTCACGGTGAGGCTCTCTCTTATCACCAGTCCAAGAATGCACAGGAATATGAGGAACATGCTCGAGGGTTCCAGCACCAGGGTCAGGATCGTCACCAGCACGATAAGGGTTTCCAAGGAAGAGCCTTGGGAGTTTCCCACCCGAGACAACGCTCCTATACATTACAGAAAGGTTGTTAGAGATTTGGTCGTTTACATTTTCACTCGCGTTGGGATCATCATCGTCCTTTCTGTTATAGTCTAGGTCTATAAGAGTTGGTGGTTGATGACTAACATTCCTGAGAGGGTCATAAAAAGGAGAGTTTTTATCTGTGTAAAAGGAAGGGATTGTCATGCCACCTTCAGGGTTGTCCCAGTTCCAAAAAGGGAGAGCAAAATTTGGGTCACGAATCAAGCTTCCCAATATTCTCTCATAGAAATAAAGGTACCAACGGTGGTAAGGGAAGAATAGCCAGGAGTTGTGGACTTGGAGGTCAAGGTCAGGGTACCCAACTTGGTCATAGGCACCATTGCAGTAAGCACAATGGATATTAGCTTGTTGGGTGAAATTACGAGGGTCTTTAGGTGAAAGGGCTTTCATGCGCCTAAGAGCTTCCTTATACTTAGCTATGTAGATATCATCGACTAAATGAGCAGCTCGTCTAACCCTAAGGGGTGTACTACGAGGTGGAAACGTGAAATCTACTATGGTAGAAGATACTGGAGGGCAACAATTGATGGTTTCTACATCCTCTGGTAACTCTGGTGGACCACAAGTTTTGAAGTCAGGAGAGGAAATTGGAGCAGCAATAGCCACAGGATTGTTGTCATTGTTTCCAAGAGTAGAAACACCACAGACTCCTCCAAAGCCAATGAGAATGTCCCTTCTATTGTGTGATGGTTTTCCTTCTTGATATGGTGTTGTGTTGTTGTGGCATGACACCTTGCAAACATTGTGGCGTCTTGGTTTTCTATGTTTGGTCGGGTGGCATTGTGTTTGAGAAAGTGGAAACGTGGAAGATGATGAACAAAGGGAAATGGGAAGTGGTATGGAGATACAAGCCATGATATCAATCGGTTATTATCCGACCCTCTTGTGGGTACTAATGATCCATCTACAATATCGCCCTTTTATATTTGAAATTTATAGGACATTATAATAAAGACTACAAATGATCCAGAAAAAATTAAGTTTTAACATTATTGTTGAATTGTACATACAACTTGTATTTTGTCTCTTTTAGACACTAGTACAAATATCACTTTTAACATGGGTAAGAACTGACGTAAAAAGTGAATTCAAGACTTTCAACATCGGTTTAGTTAGGAACCGATGTAGAAAACACTTTCTTTTTATAAAAGAATTGTTAATTGCAGGATTCGAACAAAGTACTTTAGAATTAAAGACTAATACTCTAACCACTAAACTACTTAGAATTTTCTCGATAATAACTTATAAATAAATTATATTTATATATAAATAAAAAAATATATTCATGTAAATATATAAATATAAAATATATAAATACAAATAAAAATATATTTATATGTTGGATGTGAGAGCGTGCTCGAGAGTGGAAGTGTGTGAGTGAGTTTTCAAAATTTGATGTCAAATTTGTGAACGAGTCTCTTTATATGAATTTGTAATTTAATGATAGAATATAATCTTTATAATTTATTTATAATAATATAGAAGATAATTTTTATAATTAATTTATATAATGATATAAAATAAAGAAAAAAATATTTTATATCATTATATAAATAAATTATAAAGATTATATTTTGTCATTAAGTTATAATCCATATAAAGAGACTACTCACAAATTTGACATCAAATTTTGAAAATTCACTCGACACACACTTTCATCCTCAAGCGCGTCCTCACATCCAACATATAAATATATAAATATATTTGTATTTATATATTTTATATTTATATATTTAAATGGATATACATTTTTATTTGTATATAAATATAATTTATGTATAAGTTATTATCGAAAAATCCTAGTAGCTTAGTGGTTGGAGTATCGACTTCCAACTTTAAGGTACTGAGTTCGAATTTTGTCAGTGACAATTCTCTTAATCAAATAAAATAAATAAAAATATTAGACTTTCTACATCGGTTCTGGAAACCGATGTTAAAAGCCTATTTTGTACTAGTGAGAAATGAATGAAGGTGGAGGATTAGGGTTCTACGGTACATGGCTTCTCTAATTTTGGGGTTCTATTGTGTATGTGTTATATATATATATATATATATATATATATATATATATATATATATAAAATATAGATTTAATGATTCCATATCTATATGTTTATAATAATTAATGATTAATACATTCACATGTTTTAGTTAACTGAATTTGAACTCTAAAATTTATCCAAGTCTTAATTCAAAGGAAGCCAAGTTTAAATAATAATTACTATACCAAAAAAATTATGTTTTCCTCAAAAAAATATTAATTATATTATTTTATTTGAAACCGGCTAATAATAAAATGAGGCAGCTGGTATATAACTTTGTTTAGCAATATCTAAACTTGTATTTTGATCCTTGTACACTTAAATTTTGTTTAAATATGGAGAAAAAAATTATACTATATGAGAAAAAAAATAGAAAGGTGGGAAATTACTCTTGTTTGATCTGAAAAAAAAGAGAGTATTTTCTTCCTATAGTCTAATGACTAAAATTATCTCTATTTTTGTTTTTATTTTTAAAAACTATATAATATTTTTTTTAAATAATCAATAATTTTAGGTTAAAAATATTCAAAACTACATTTTTTAACTATAAAGTATTGTTATATACCTTATTTATTTATTTTCAGTTTCTTTCCTTTTCTATTTAGTCAAACAATTTTTTTATTTTATTTCTTTTCTAATTTTTCACTCCTATTTTCATTACTTTTAATTTGTTATTTCATTCGTCGTCCAAAATATATAATGGGGATGAAAAATATCCTCGTCTTATATGGAAATTAGTGTTCTATTGACACGTGAGGTTTTAAAATTTATTTATTAAGAAATATGAGAAATAGTGAGAAAATGCTCCATGCGTCATCCAAAAAGTTTTGTGGACCACGGCATTCATCACGATAAAGTCATGTGTAAAGAAGCCGAAATAGTAGTTACCAAACCTGCCAAAAACTTGTTTCGTCACGAAAAACTCATGTGTAAAGAAGAAAATAAGAAAAATAAATCGGTTCACGAGTACCCTTAGGAGTCTAGATAATATTTTCACGGTGAAAATTAATCCAAACAATATTATTCCAATAAATATAAAATTGAGACATTTTCATAAACGAAACGTTAACGTTTACGGTAAAGTTTTCTTAAACGAAATATTGATGTTTATTATAGAGTTGAAAGGTAAAAAAGAAAGATTCGTTTTATTTATATTCCTAGTTCTCAATTAAGGGACTATGTTCCGGTATACTCATGAATATCACATCGTTTATGAGTCGAGATAAATGATAATTTATATATACCCTCGTTTTTTAACTCACTGTGACACTTTTAAAAATAAAATTGTGATAAACTGGAGTTTTAAAATAAATAATACCTTAGACGTAGTAATGGACCCTACCGATACTATCATAGCAGACATGAGACTGCGACACTATCGTTTCGTATCTTTAAACCTAGTGTTTTTACCTGCCTGGTAGAGATCGACAAGAGAATATAAGGAGATCGATTGATTAGATTCCAAGTTGCGACTTCAAGAAGGTTGAAAATAGTTTCCTTTGGAGCATAGGCCCACCATCATAGGGTCGGCCCACATAATGTGACGAGAAAAATGTAGCATAAGTTATATGAACTTCATTTACACAATGACTGACTTAGAATCTTTAGGGTTAGGACCTTGTAGGAAATTTAGGAAATTAGTGAGAAAGTGGATTAGAAAGTGGTGAAAGTTTCAGGGTTGGGCAGTATTATTGAAACATCAATATCTCAAGCTACAAAACTACGATTGAGGTGATTAAAAAATGAGGTGAAAGTTCTCGTTCTGAATTTTAATTTAGGCTAAAAAAAACACTTAATTTGGACGAGTAGAACAAAAGAACGAAGGAAAAAATCATTCTTCCCAAAGGAGACAACTCGTAAAAGATGTAAAAGTCCTTTGACAACAAGGATTCTTGAATCACTCAAGAATTTAGGAGAATCACTCTCACTAAGATAAAATAACTAAACTTTCATATTTCTGAATAAAACTCAACTTGTTGTTTCTGATAATGGTTTAACTTATGTAGAAACTTTATCATCAGAGTTACAAAGACTCAATAAAGGAAAATAAATACTAATAATGATCAATTAATCTAGGAATTGAAAACTTCTTAATGGAGGCAAATAAATGTCAATAATGATCCATTAACCTAGGAATTCAAAACTACTTAATGGTTGATTGTAACTGAAATTGTGACAACCAAAAGTCAATCATCTATGCACCCTCTTGGTCTCCCAAAGGATGATATATAAGTTTCCAATTGGGCCCTTATTACAACTTCAAACAAAACCAAACTAAAGTCCATTAATTGATTAACCCAAAACATAATTTGGTCAGCCAATTTTACAAAGGATTGAACCATTATTTAAACAAACTTAAAGACTAAAACAAAGTGACACATTAATCCTCCTCCCATTTAGGCCATGATATAATTCACAATTTTGGTCTTTTCTCCTTGAAATGTGGGCTTCTATTAAAATAATATGGACAACACTTGTTGAAGAACTTCTTTTGTCTCCCTTACTCTAGCCCTTGTCATAGGTCTTCCAAGTCCTTCCAGTGTATATTTGCCCTTACTCATGGTCACGTCTCTATCATTCTCTCCCTCTTGAGAAGGATTTATCCTTAACTCGGATTCACCATCTACATCAAAAAGAGATAAAACAAACACATTGAATGTGGAACTAACATTATAATCACTTTTTGTGGCTAAATAATTCTCCCTCACTTCAAGTGTTTTACTCTTTTTTCTCTCTTCTCTTGAAGAAGTTTTTCTCTCATTTTGTTTTTATCCTCACACACTTCTTGTAAACTCAAAGGTTTGAGCACAATATTCTTGTCTTGGTGTATGAAAGAGATCTTGTTGGTAAACCCGTTATGATTGACTCTTTTATCAAATTGTCATGGTCTCCCCAAAAGTAAGTGGTTGACCTCTATAGGAACTGTTAGACAAATGACATCTAGAGGGGGGGTGAATAGATGCACAAATTAAAATAGATGTCAAATTAAAAATTTATTTGTGCGTCAATAATTTGTTTGAACACAGATAAAGCGGAAGCAATAATATAATCAGGAAAAGAGAAAGAGATAAGGGAAAGAGAAGAATACACAAAGATTTATACTGGTTCGGGTATAGCCAATCCTACATCCAGTTCCTAATCAACTCTTAACACAAGAGTGACTCCCCATTCACTATCTTTCAAATTCAGTTTATAAATTACAATCAACTCAGCAGAAGAACCAGTAAAAAGTAAAGTAATTAAAAAGACAATCACCTCCTTAGAAACCCACTAAGGATAAACACCTCCCTAGAATCTCACTAGGGATGAACACCTCCTCTAAACAAATCAAAGGATGAAAACACCTCCTTAGAATCCCACTAAGGATGAACACCTCCATAGAATCACACTAGTGAAAAAAATACCTCCTTTTCACCAATACAAAAAGGATGAAGGTAATAAAAATAAGAACATACACACCTGGGTAATGGAGACAACAAATTGTAGAAGCATGTAGAATGCGAATCTCCAAGAACAAGTGTGATTAACAATGAAAGAACAGAAAGCAGTAGAGAAGAGAGTTTTCTCAAAAGTTGTAAAATATCTCTGTTGCCTTACTCAAAATTCTTTTCTCAAAACTGATTGAATGTAAATTGTATTTTTGAATTTTTTTAATTGTGTGTTTTTGATTTTTCATCAAAACTATAGAAGAATAAGATCAGAAAATGGCCGTTGGACATTAATAATATCATAGAGAAAATCAGGATGTATTAAAAAACATTTATTCTTTAAAACATATATATTTTTTAAATTTGAATTGTCATAATTGATTAT